CCCCCCCCCCCCCCCCCCCAGTGTATCATATTGAGTGCCAAAGTAGAACAGGTGCGCACTTCTCAATTATATGATGATGTTATATTGATGCATTTAAGCCTTGCTGGTTATTATTATTATTATTGCGTACATTCACATCAAATATATATATATACTGCAAATATAACTACTTATATACACACTTAGGAAATAATATATATATATTTGATATAAATTGGGTTATGGTTGCAATATTGTTATACCAAACACAACAATGTTGTCTCCTTTAAAAGTTCATATACAAGGTATTGATCAATACAATCATTCATTCATTCATATACTCACTCACAAACTCATCAAACAAAACAACTAGTTGTCGAGGCAAAGGATTTGAAGAAGAGAGAGTTTGGCAAATATGATCCATATGTTGAGGTTAGACATTTGAATAGTGTCAGAATGACAAAGGTTATAAAGAATAATCAATCTCCAGTTTGGAATGATTCCTTCGATTTGTAAGTTGTAGTATAGGAATCGAATAGCCAGTAGCATACTAATCACATACATAACATTGACAGCAATGTGGACATACTAAACTCACCAATAATATTATTGGTATGGGATAAGGAGATATTGTTCTTTGGCGATAACCTCATTGGTTGTGTTGTGTTGGAATTACCAAAGCTCAGATTCGAAGAGAGTGCTGGAATATATAGTGTGGATGTTTGGACACCCATCCAGAGACTTGGTAAACCTGATCCAGTGCGTGGCAGGCTACACGTTAAACTACAGTGTCGCAACTCAATGGAGATACTCAATGACGATTGGTATCTACTTGGTGGCGACCACGACTCTGATGTCTGCGACAAGGTTTACATTGGTGATGACACCAGCACCACCACCTGTCAAGAGACATTACGACCGCCTCCCAGCAAGAAAGAGCGTGCATTGTTGGATGATTCAGCTCCATCATCATCTTGTTCAACTTTACTGAATGACATTGGTATCGACTCGTCATCCAGGACATTGTTGATCAGTGATCATGACATGCTCTCACATTGCATCATTTGTGACAGGAAGGATCAACCTACCAACCTATTTCTCATGGAGGAATGTCTGCACAACATCTGCCGAAGATGTCTAGTTGGCGGCATTCGCCAGCAGCTGCGTTCCACCGACTCCAACTTTACCTGTATATACAAGACCTGTACATTTAAACTCCAACCAACTCTTTACAAAGTAAGTTTATGTTTGTGTTGACTCAACAACAACATCATTTCTGTTCCTTGACTAACACTATTGTGATGGTTCACTATTGATTAATCAGGTACTCTTGGAGAAGTCTGAATATGATATTTATTTAACAAGAACACTGGAATCCTTCATTGGCACCAGTTCCAACTACTTTAAATGTCCATCATGCAAGGTGGTCTACGAGAAACATCAACAACAACAAATAGAAGTACAGCCATCTTYCCAGCAATCGAGCATCAGTCCACTTACTCTCTCCAAGTGGTCAGAAGATGAGCGAAGAGGGTGCCAAACATCGCGATGAATACCGATATAGGTGTGCACCTTGCAACATTGACTTTTGTGTCGGTTGCAACATTACACCCTACCACTACAACTTCAACTGCGCCGACTACAAGCAGTATCTAGAGGCCAAGAAGTGTCGATTCTGCAAGGAGTCACTGCATGGAGTCACCCTGAATAGTGACGTTGCCCCAGGCCACGTCAACGTGTGCCAGTCTCCAGAGTGTCAAGAAAAGATGAGTCTCAGCTGTGGCAAGGTGTTGCCATGTGGTCACAACTGTCTGGGTGTCCACGGAGAGAGGACTTGTCCACCATGCTTCAAACAGAAGTGTCATCCCAAGAAGATCAAAGTGCCAAGCTCAAACGACTACTGCAACATATGTTATGTCGAGGATCTCTCATGTGCACCATGTTTGTTGCTCGAGTGTGGCCATGCCTTCCACTCACAGTGCATCAAGAGCCGTCTACAACCCAAGCAGAGCGGTCCTCGTCTGAGTTTCAAGCATCTCGACTGTCCCCTCTGCAACAGACAGATGAAGCACGTTCAGTTGAAGGAGTTGACGGCCGAGTCGATAAGGCTGCGCGACATTGTCCAGGCCAAGGCATCACAGCGACTGATCTTTGAAGGACTGAACAAGACCAAAGAGTTGGAGTGCAAGAGTTCCAAATGGTATAGGAACCCCGAGGGCTACGCCATGCATCACTACTCCTACTACATGTGCTTCAAGTGTCGCAATCCATACTTTGCCGGACAGGTTCGATGTGAGCAGGATCAAGCCTACGATGACTTCAACCCAGAAGAGTTAATATGTGGCTCATGCAAGGGAGAGAACTTCCAGCAATGCAATATCCATGGATGGGATTTCATGTATGTATCATTTAGAGCTTGGACTTGGACTTGGACTAGGACTTGGATGATACTAACATACATACATCATTAATAGGGAGTTTAAGTGTCACTTTTGTTGTTCCATCGCTCAATGGTATTGCTGGGGCAAGGTACACTTCTGCGATGACTGTCATACCAAACAACAAAAGGGTGACTACCTTACAAAGAAGCCAAAGAATGTATGTATTGTTGGAACTAACATGACTACCATCACATCCAACCATGGTTATTAACTTCCAATCACACAATAGATGATACCAGAGTGCCCTGGAATAGAGAAATGTCCATTGAAGATAGCACATCCACATTGTGAGGAGTTCATTCTTGGTTGTACCATCTGCAAGAACATCAAGGACTTCTAGGTCATGATTTTATATTGTTCGATCGACTGCACTCAGTCATTCTTTTCCAGATGAGCTGGATCAAGGCCCCTGGAAAGTTAATAAATGTATATATTTCGCTTGGCACTCATACTCCAATGTTAAGGGGTATTGATCGTTGCCTCGTATTGTCAATATGTAGACAGGCTGGCTGCCTTTTGATGATGTTTATTATTGTGTTGGGTTGTTGGTACTCGTTGTTGTTGTTGATCGATCAGTTTGTTGTGTGCGCGCTCGTTATCCTATCCAACGACAATCTTTCCTTTTGCTTGTCTCTTCTTCAACAGAGCCTTGTACTCCTTGTCGTCTCTCTTGCGCTGCTCCTCTGGGGTGAGCTTGGCGATCTTCTCCTTCTCCTTCTGCTCCTTCTCAAACTTCTTCTTTTGTGCTTGCTCCTGTCTCTCGAGATGCTGTTGCTTGAACAATTCCTCACGCTCCTTGGCTCTCAACTTCTCAGCCTTGGCTTTGTACTGAGGTGGGAGCTTAACATTGGCAATGTAGTCAATGTACTGCAGTGCCATTGATGTCAATGGTTGGATCTTGTCCATATCCTTGACGCTTGGCAACTTGTACGAGAATGACAATGTTTTTGGACTATTGATTGATTGGATGAATGTTAGTTATGTCGTTGGAGTGATAGTAGGTAGGGTGGCAGTATACCTACTACTTTGGATTGATCAATGAGTGATCGGTAAAGTGCATTGACTCGAAGAAGTTCTCGTGGCTGTTGAGTGTGGCTGCGATCTCTGGCTTGAGAAGAAGAGTTGGGAGACACTCTGTATCAGAGAGTACAGCATATGTGCTGTTGAGGCCATATGGCAGAGCTTGCTTGGAGCAGAACAATGACTAGTAATGTTCATCAATGTCAGTTATCAATCAATCAATCAAACCATCCATTCATCAATTATACATACAACATCATTGTTGTCGCTCTTAAACTTCTTGAAGCTCTTGTTCTTGATAACAGCAAAGATCATTGGCTCCATGACATCGCTGTTCAATGCAATCTCTATAGACTGTTGCATTGATTGATTGATTGTTAGCACAATGAGAGAGAGAGAGGGAGAAGATAACATTCTCACAATACTTACGATACGATCTGGATCGGCATATCCAACCAAGTCCATAATGACATGGAAGAGGTCTTGACGCTTCTTAAGAGTAAGGGTGACTTGGGCACCTTGGCAGTTGACACGACCACTGCATGTGAAGACGTAGGTGTTTGGATCCACTTTGATGATGACGTAGCTCTGCTTGTCGCCGAGGTAGGTGAAGTTGGACTCAAACAGTGGACGGAAACGACGTCCCCAGATGGTGACGAGCTCCTGGTTGGTCTTCTTTCCGACAAAGTAGTTGATTCCATAACCAATGATGAATGCCACGAACGAGATCTCCATGAACCAATTATTCTGCTTCTTCACTGCTGATGCCGACTCTTTTGATTCTTGTGAGGCATTAGCAGCAGTATCCGATGTTGTTGCGCTTGATCCACTCTCTGTATTCTCCTCTTCATAGACCTGCTCCTCATATTGCTGCTCCAACTCTTCATTGATTATATTCATTGGCTCAACACCTTCGAATTCATCCTCATCAAACTCTACCATATGCTTTGCGATGTTCTAAGTATGTTGATATTGTTAGACTTTTACCGTTGACTTCTTAAATCATGATTCATTATTTGAACACTTACAACTTGACATATTGATATATGTACTAGCAATGCCAGTACAATTGTTGCTAGCAACAATAATGATTTGCTGTTCATCTTATATATCTGTAGATGTTATTATGTGTGAGAATGCGATTGACAAACGAATCATTCTTGTGACTCACATCTTGTGTTGTTCAGTTTGATGTTCAAAATGAATGTGAATATTGGGGTCAACTTGACTTGTCACTCACTTCATCAATCAATCAATCATAGATAGATAGATAGATAGATATCAAACAATGAGCTTAATTAGAACTATATCAGGTGTTAGAGGTGTAAATGGTGTTACATTGACACCAAACATCATTGTAGATCATATCGTTGCCTTTACAAGATTGCTTGAGTCACCACCTTACAATCAATCACAAAAGACTATTGTTGTTGGTCGTGACTCTCGTGTATCTGGTCCATGGATCGAAATGTTGGTCAATGGAACATTGGTATCATGTGGATACCATGTCATTCATATCGATATTGCAACCACTCCAACTGTATGTCTCTCACTCTAATCAATCAATCAATCATCCTGAACTAATCAATCAAATGTTATATAGGTCCAATTCATTGTACAACAAACCAACTCGTCCGGTGGTATTGTAATCACCAGTAGCCACAATCCAATCGAGTGGAATGGATTGAAGTTTGTTGGACATGATGGTTTGTTCATTTCACCAGAGGGTTGTGAGAGATTGTTCCAACTGGCCGACCAGAAGGCCCCAATCGAGAGGTTCGCCACATACGACAAGCTTGGACACGTCACCAAGAGGTCTGACTCCAACCAGAACCATCTGGACGCCATCTTTAAGCTGCCCTACATCAACTTGGACAAGATCCGTCAGATGAAGTTCAAGGTGTGTCTGGACAGTGTCAATGGTGCAGGTGGTCCCATCATGACCTCCTTGTTGAATCAGCTGGGCTGCAGCGTCCATGGAATCAACATCGAGCCAACTGGCGTCTTTGCTCACACGCCCGAACCAGTGCCCGCCAACTTGGGTCAGCTATGCGAGTCGGTCAAGCAGCAGGGTGCGGACTTTGGTATTGCCGTCGATCCAGACGTTGATCGTTGTGTGTTCATCGATGAAAATGGCCAGCCACTGGGCGAAGAGTACACTCTGGCGTTTGCCGTTGAGTTTATGCTTGGAGAGGTGGGACGCAAGGGCGTCGTCTGCAAGAATCTATCATCATCTCGTGTCCTCGATGACATTGCCAAGAAGTACGGCTCCACTGTGGTCTGTGCACCAGTCGGTGAGATCCAGGTTGCCCAGCGTATGGTCCAACAGAACGCCGTCATTGGAGGTGAGGGCAACGGTGGTGTGATGCTGCCAGACATTCACATTGGACGTGATGCACCCGTGGCCGCAGTGTTGGCCCTTCAGCTTCTGGCCAACCGTTGCGCTCGCAAGATCTCACAGTTCAAGGCCACTCTGCCCCAGTACGAGATCGTCAAGTTGAAGGCAGCCATCGAGGGATTGGACCCAGACGCAATTCTCTCGGCCTACAAGACACAGTACAGAGGCAAGGAGGGCGTGATCGTCAACGAAGAGGATGGTCTCAAGATTGATGCTCCCGAGTGGTGGGTCCACTTGCGCAAGTCAAACACCGAGCACATCATTCGTGTGATTGCCGAGGCCAAGACCGTTGAGGAGGCTACAGCAATTGCCAACAAGTTTATTCAAGAGATTGAGTCCAGCAGGAAATAAAGTGATCAGTGTTGTTTGTATGTTTCTAACTCAAGACTTGCGCTTGGAAATGAGGTAGTTGTTCTCCAATGACTTTCTGTTGGTCACACTGTCGTAGACAGGGTTTCCGAGAGCGGTGAGCAACTTCTGGAGCGAGTCTACACCATCAGATGGTTTGAGCTCGATCAGTTTGGACAGTAGTAGGTCATATGGGATCATATCGACAAGAGTGGCTCTGTTAATACGACCACCCTTTCCATCGGATATGGTAGGGTTCAACATGTCCCATGTTGCAGCGGCCGTTCTGTAGAACAATTGCCATTGAGTGCCCTTCACCTGTGGTCTAGTCTCCTTGTAAGTAACAATATTGGTCATGTTGGGGAAATATTGAACGACACATTGATCAAAGGCAGTGGTCTTGTCTTGGATTGGAGGGAACTGTGTGTACAAGTGGAATGATTCCATGTCAGTATATATGATCACCTCACGGATAAAGACAATCAATACCTACAGAGTTGTGGATGTACTTGGAAATGGCGTAGAGGACTCCATTGGCCCAGTTTGGTAGGTTGTTGTCGATGATATAGATTACCTCTGATTGTGGACGGTAGCTTGATTGTTGGTAGACATAGGATATAACTACATCATATGCCAGCTCCTCCTCACACTTGGTGGCAACCTTGCGAGTTGTATACTTTCCAGTTACAGATGGAACCTGGGCCGATGGATTGATGATGTATTGGATAGGTGGCAACATACTTGGCATCTCAGTAAGTCTACTTCTCACATCCTTGGTATAAGAGATCACCTGAAGGTCATTGATTCCTTGAGTCTCAAAGCTGCGAGTGGCAAATGGAGACATGTACGGCTGTTCATAGTTGGTGGGATAGAGGACTGGTGCCTGGGATGGTTGAGACTCTGGCATGGGGGTGCGACGAGCAAGCTTGCGGTCACACACTTCATCAGGGTACTGTGAAGGTTGGTAATCACATATTGATGCAATGCTCGAGTCGTGGGCGATATAGTTAACGGCGACAGTATCGTCGGCAACATATCCCTTGATGCTGGGCTGTGGTGGAATGTTTCCGAGGTCAAGAGCTTCAGGTCCTACTTTGGACATTGATGTCCTCATCACAGGGATTTCAGCTACAATATCTTGAGGACTTCCAAGAGTGCTCTCATTTGCAACACCAAAGTATCTTGGAAGTCTTGATGAGATTGTTCCATTGACTGAATCCATCACCTCAAATGTGATATCATTAGTCCAATCATTCCTGTTGATCTTTAGAGGTTGGGTAACAGAGTTGATAAAGTATTGGGCATCAGTACCAGGTCTCTGAGTTGTTTTTGAACCAGCATTCTTAATTTGATTGATTGATTGATTAGTATTGAACAGCCAATGAACATTTGTATAATACATACGATTGAGTTATACTCTCGAACCATTCTGTTGAATTGGTAGGACAGAGTTGGATGTTGGAAACAAAGTGCACCTCCTCCTCGGATACCTTGACCATTGTGTCTGTTGGAGTCACCAACACAGAACATGTTCTCATTTGGTGCACGGACATTATCACCAACGGCAGGATACACTGGGAATCCCATCTTGGAATGATCATTGGTTCGGCCAGAGAATATGTACTCTTTGTAGGTGAAAGTGCCGTTCCTCGGGTTCCATACTCTCTCGGACAGGTTTGGTGGGAGATAGAGCGAACCAACATTGATCACAGAGTTGGTGGGCGACATCTGATACATACCAATGGCATAGAAGAACTCAATGAACATCATGCGCTGGTAGTGATCTGCTACTACCATCCAAGTGTCCACACCCTCATAGACATTTGATCGCTCATTTTTTGCAATGAATGGACTGAGTTTGGAAGTCGCCTCATCACTGATGGGTGGGAACTTGGCCTTGTTCAGCTCGATCGATGTCTTCATAAAGTAATTGGCAACCATGCCACTGATGTTGATGTTAGGCGAGACCCAGTGACAGATATTGTTAAGGTTGGTCTCTTTGGCAACGACATCCTGACAGGCATCATGGAAACAATCTTGGGTGCATTGTGGCGGGCCATTGGGGCCAGGAACACGAGCTGGTAGGCTCTCCCATTCAGTCATGTAGTCATAGAAGTAGGGGTACTGGTTCTTTGTGTTATCATCCCACTTAGAGAGATCTGGAGCCTTGTAGTTCTGATCAATCAGACCTGCATCATTGTGAATGATGTAGTCGAATTGAGTCTCAATGTCATCCCATTGGTAGCAGAAGAAGTGTTGACTGTACCTTGGTGAGCCAAGCCATTTGATTCCATCGTTGATACCATAAAAAGTATTACCAGTTCCTGTGAATCCTGGGAATACCGGGTTGGAGTGCATCACTGTGATTCCACGGTACTTTTTTGTGGCTGGGTCTTGTTCAAACAGAATGAAGCTCTTTAGATGTCCATGACCATGCTTGGGTGATTGTGGGTTTGTTCTTGATCCAGCGGCGTCACGTCCACCAAGCTGATCATTGAAGAACATGTAGTAATAATCTGGGTACTGGTCATAGGTGGCGGCAAGTGCACTGTATGGTCCGGATGTCACACCAGCAAGGTTATCATGCTTTGCCAGTTCATCCATCGTGTTGTCAATGTAGAGATATGAGTTGTTCTGAGTCATCCTAAGCTTGTAGCTGAACCACCAATCCACAGGAGGGTTGGAGCCATCTTCATTGGGTGGACCACGGCAACTTAGACCAGTGCTGTGGAATGTTACCTTGTTTACTGATGCAACTGGTTGTCCTCCATTTGATTTTCCAGACACCTTGATGACAACTGGTTTGTCACCTGCCTCTTCCATTGGAGGAACTAGGCACTGGATAAGTTGCATTCCATTATCCTTTCCAATGATCACAGGGTTGGTACACGGGACGTCTCCAACCAAGACTGAGTTGCTCTCCACTGTTTCTCCAAAGTCATTGCCAAAGAGAGTGATCGTAGTAGGTCTCATTTGATTTCCAAAAGCAGGTTCAATGTGATCGAGGTTGGGTCCAATGTATTCAATCAAGAATGGCGAGGTGTAGATGGTATCATTGGCCAGGACATTGACTTCATACTGGCCAGGGGTGTTGGGAGGGATTGGACATGTAATTTGAGTGGGCTCAAAAGTGCATCCAGTGACTACGGTATCCTTGATCATCACCTTGTTTGCCACATCGAGATGGGTACCAACAATTGTGAGCACTCCGCCTCCAGCTGGAATATTGGAAGTCTGGGACTGTCCAGTCATGGAAAGATCAAAGTAGGTGAACTCAAGATTGGTGGTATAGCTCTTTCCATTGACCTCGAATGTGATTGGAACTGCTCCAATATGCATGGATGTTGGCGCTTTGCATGCGAGATGTTCCACATCGTGCTTCATGAGGATCGAGCACTGAAGGCCATCGACAAACACTTTGGTATTGGTGGCCTCATTAGTTCCTTCAGTTGGTTTCGGGAAGTTGATGAATGAGAGTAGGATTGGAGTATGGGCATTCATAAATCCAGTTGCAGGTCTAACAGAAGTTAACTCAGGGATGAGAATAGGCGTCTCAGTTGGGGTTGGAGTAGGAGGTTGAGTTGGCGGCTGAGTAGGGGGTTGGGTAGGAGATTGAGTTGGCGTTTGAGTAGGAGGTTCAGTTGGAGGCTGAGTTTGATCATTAGTTGTTTGAGCAGGTTCTATTGATTGAATAAAGAGAAGAAGAATTAGTATTTGATTTGTTTATCTATAGATGAAGAATACATACTGTAGACAAGGAGATTGATATCATCTTTGACAGGTTGGGCACCAATGATCATGTCCAATGGTAACAATTGTTGATGGCCAACAATATCATCAAGTAACAATGTACACTTGACCATAGTATCACTTAACAATACTACATTGTTACATTGTCTACCTCCAAATGCAATTATTATGTTGCCAGAAGGCAACAAATATTGTCCAGTAAGTAGAATATCATGACTTGCTCCTGGCAACACAATAACTTTTGGCTCAATACTGGTAATAATTGGTTCTATACTCAGTGAATAAATATTAGTATTTGTTAAATAATACATATCTAAATATAAACAACTATACTTACCAACAAAGGTCAATTGATTATTGGATATGGCCTTTACACCATTGGGCAAGGTAACTCCGACTTGAGTCACTCCAGTTCCTGAGGGGACATTACCCATTGCACAGATTATTGTTGTTCTGGTGAAACTTTGAACAATACATGGCGTATCTCCATAGACAACAGATGGGGCGGCATCATATTGAGAACTTCTAAAGTTCCTACCAGTGATGGTCATCAAATGTCCGTTGGCCTGAGGGTAGAATGTATCCGGAGTGAAGCTCTCAATCACAAGGTCTACAAGGTTTACAAAATGTTGTCAATATCTGAAAGTCATCATAATCCGAGTTGCCAATTCAAGTACTTACTAATAAACTTTAGTTCACGACTATACAGGGTGACTCCATTGTAGGAGATGACTAAGGTGAAACCTGTGAATTCTCCATTGCAACAGTTCTCTGGCTTGGGTGGGACGAGGAAGTAGAAGTTTGTTCCATCGGTGTTGAGTAGTTGGAGCTTGATCCTATAGTCACTGTTCTCATAGACGATCTGAGCATCCATTGGTACGGTAAAGCCTTGACCGACTACAACAATGAATGAACCTCCGTCAGCGGCAGCAAATGGTGGAGACACACTTATTATTGACTGAGCATGGACTTGACTATCCGTGGCTAAGACCATGAATAATGACCCTAGCAAGAGTATCAAGTGTACTCTATGCATCTGTGGTGTTGTAGTTGTTGTTGTTGAGGAAGTTAATGTTAATAAATAAATAAATAATATAGATCCAAGGTAGTAATAGGTAATAATAGTAGTAGTAATAATAGCAAATGATAACAATATATTCAATCGTTGACTAGTCTACTATCCACTTACCCAACTTCATTGTACATTGACCACTCTATGCTCATATGCATTATAGATGTTTGGTGCTCAAGATGATCATGATGAATATGAATGTGTTAGATCCATCCAACAAACACTTAAATCAATCTTATGCCTCAGCTGCCTATGACCATCAACAAAATTGATCATCATCACTAAGGAGGAAACAAATCTCCCTCCCTTGCTACGCACAGTGTTTTGAAGAATGAGAGTGTTACCTCACTTTATGTTGAGAGAGATGACCAAAGGGGGTAGAGCATTATTACAATATATATATATATTTAGATGTTATTGGCAACATCTGAACTAGTTTTATTTTCATGTAACATTGGTAGCAATCACAGAGATGGATCATGTTAAAATCGAGTCAGAGTGGAAGAGAGGGATTGAAGGCATTAAATAACCAAAAATGACACCCAATGTATTCATATGTGAACATCGCCCAAACTCCATGGCAAATATTCAATGGACATATTTATTGTTATTTAAAAATAGTACTCTTTAAAGCTTAAAGGAGTCCTTAAACTATAGTACATCCATAAGATTGAATATTTAGTATCATTTATTGAACAATAATATTGGCTTCTTCTGTTAAGTTAAATATATATTATCCTGGGGGATATATATATATCAGTGACAATAAAGACAACTCATTCCATGGCAATATTTAAAGAGTACACAAGTGAGGAATCTATATAACTCATTGCCCAACAACTCGTGTTGCTGGATCGAAAACTGGTGCAGGTCTACCTCACCTCATTGAGGACGGATGATCGATCGGCATTTATCAATTGTTCAGAACTTGTTTGGGACCCTAGTTATCGATCAAACAATTTTCACGAGCAATCAATTAAATCTCCAGTATGTTATAAACATCAATCAATCAATCAAGCTCAAGATATACATTTATTTGATCGACCATAGATTTAAAAGACTATGACTATGAGAAACAACAACAATAATAACAAACACAGTAGTGATGTATTGTAACCATGTCACTCTTAGAGTCTTAAGTCTTTCATTGTTACAGTTCCTTCAATCTGCGTTGAATAGCTTGGTTCATCATGTACCTTTGAGAGTATCCCTCGGAGCGGTTACTCTCAAGGAACTCCACGATTGATTGATGTCCAAGGCATGACGCCATGTCCAGCGCTTCTGTTGTGCATCCCTCTGTTCTGTTGCCGTGAAGGAACTTGACGACGGAAAAATGACCATTCCTTGCAGCCATGTCCATTGCATTGGCTGTGCATCCCTCTGTGCGATTAGAGTGGAGGAACTCGACCACTTCCAGGTGTCCATTTTCAGATGCCTCGTCCATTGCCTTGGTAGTGCATCCATCTGTTCGATTTTGATGCAGATGCTGGACCATCTGCAAAGACCCTCGCCCAGCGGCTTTGTCCATTGTTATCTTGGTGCATCCTTCTGCTCGGTGCGTCAGAAGGAATAGAACAACGTCAAAGGGTCCAAACATGATGGAGTTGTCGACTGCGTTCATTGTGCAGCCCTCTGTCCGGTTGAAGTGGAGGAATTCGACCAGGGGAAGGTTGCCATTGCTTGCGGCTCTGTCCATCAGAGATGCCGTGCATCCCTCTGTGCGATTGTCGTGGAAGAAGCGAACGAGTCTCAAGGCGATGTCGTGGAAGAAGCGAACGAGCCTTAAGGCTCTCCACCTTCAGTTCGATGGGAATGGAGGAATTGTACAGTGCCGAGGTGACCCTCATTGGTGGCATTGTCCATCGCATCGGTTGTGCAGCCTTCTGTCCGGTTGAAGTGGAGGAACTCGACGATGGGAAGGTGCCCATTCTTGGCTGCCTGGTCCATCGCTTTGGTCGTGCATCCTTCGGTTCTTGTTGAGTGAAGATATTGAACCATAGCCAAGTGTCCATTCTGAGCTGCCAAGTCCATTGCCTCGGGGATGTCGCAGCACTCAGTGAAATTGGCGGCGAGGAACTTGAAGACTTCCAGGTGGCCATAGACAGCCGCCAGGTGCATTGCGTGCGTGGTTGTGGCACCTTCTATGCGGTGCAGATACTTGACAACGGAGAGGTTTCCATAGCTGGCAGCAGAGTTCTGATAGCAGTTTGGTTGGAAGGCTACTCCAAGTCTGTGCAGCATCTCGACGACTGGCAGGCATCCATGTGACACAGCGATCTGAAAGAGCTCTCCCATCCCGTACTCGCCAGGTCGCTCTCTGATCCATCGCTCTAGGAACGCAGAGTGAGCATAGTGCACCCTGATGAGCTTAGACAGAGGAACAACCCACCAGTCCTTCCCTTTGATCGGCCGGCATGAGTCTGTTCCTCTGTGTGGAGTATGATGTCGGTGCAGACCTCCCAGCTGTGCCCATATTGCAGCGGAGAGCAGCCTGTTGCCATAGATGCGAAAGAATAGCTTTGTCTTGACGTCGGAGATTAGTTCTATCTCTCTGATAATCTTCCTTGCCTTGGCTATATCATGTGATCGGTAAGTCAGTGGCAGTGAATCATCCACATGATGATATGTTGATGTTGATCATCACCGGTGCTAGTCTCGGAGGAGGAGCTAAAGACTACGCCGCTGCTAGTCTTTGCTAACAAACAGGATCTGCCCGGTGCGCTTACCGAGGCTCAGGTGTCTGAAGGTCTCAAGCTCAGCTCACTAAATAAATTGGCGTCATTGAAGAGGCGGGAAAATATATATAAGTTAACTTATATATATCGATTTTGAATTTTCTTGATTTTTTTCTTTCTTTTCTTTTCTACTGTAGGCCTCTGAATTCGGCCACCAAGTATTTGTTGATAGTTGGCGGCAGAGGCGGAAGACGGATGTCGGGGAGTTGAAGGATGTGATGCACACCAAGCATGCCAGTGGCGAGATCTTTACATATTTTTTGTAACATGAGGAACTTCCAGAGTCGAATGATTCGTTTTCCAAAGTGTTTTGATGTCGCTTCGCGCACTCAATCACTTCATTCGTTCATTCATAGACAGTGGGTCTTCAGTTACTAACTGTCATACTCTCAAGTGAACGTTCAATAATATTAAGAGTACATCTCTTTATATTAAACTTTTTTTCTTTTAGTTTAGTTTAATCACTCTACAGCGTATTGCTTTAAGTTCCTGGCCAGGACAATCACAGCTGTACTCTGTACATTCATTCTATGTCCTCATACAAGAATTCATCAGACGACTACGTCAAAAAAATTAGCTCATTAAGTCATGGCGACCTCGTCAAGAGATACTGCGAACTCGAGACCGTCAATGGTGAAATGGCGATCGAGCTCGAGGCATTGCGCAAATGCAAGGATAGACATGATCGCATGGAGGAGAAGGCGCAGCGCACGTCGGAGAAATATCGCGCCTCTCGTGCCCGTGAGGCCAAGCTTCTTGACGACAATGTGGAGTTAGTCAGGGACCTCCGGACTACGCTCAATGAACTCAACGCGATGAGGGCTAAGGCCAACGCTGCCCCTGAAGAGCCGGTTGTTCTCCCCAGACCACTTGCCGTCCCTGCCAACGACGAGTTAGGCGCGAAGGTTCTCCAACTGATTGCTGGTCGCGCGAATGGGTGGACCGTTCCACCTCATGAATGCAACCAGGATATCTCCAACCTTCATCTTAGGTTTGCTGGTTTGTCCCCTCCACACGCCACCTCGCTTATCCAGACCACCTTCAACCTCCCGGCCGTGGATTGTTCCGAGGACATYATTGACCAAGCCTTCACGCACTTGAAGAAGCACAACGAGTTCTTCCGTGACGCCGTCACYCGCCTCATCGTCAGCCTCACCAAGGATGGTGTCAGCACCTTTGTGCCTCCCAAGACSGCCGACCAGTTCTGTGCGCTCGTCATSAAGAYGTGTT